GGGGTCTCTTTATCTCATACCATGTAGCGTTAGCGTTAGCCTACAGTTTATGCCTCTTTTATCCTCTCCTTTCTCTTTTCTCACACAGAAAACAAGTTGACACATTTTTGCTAGCAGGCTAGCTGGTTGGTTGGCTAACAAGAAATGTACTAATAACCTTGTCATGCCGCAGTGAATGTAGTTTATATATTCACCCAACACAAACTACAAGTTAGTACAACACTTGTATTAACAGATTAAACTGTATAACAATGACTAAAGTTACTTTAAAGAAGGAACTATATCATTCTCAATGGTTTGTGGGATGGGTAGTCCCTTGACTCTGCAAGAAAGTGATGTACACAGTCTTGTACCTTTGCCCTTTTCTCCGTTTTGTAAATGCTGTTTTTGGTTGTCTTGGTTCCAGGCACCAATCTCTTGATATAAGAATTTTGTGAAAAACCTTCTTGATTAATGAAGTTCCATCTCATCTTTTCTTATCGTAAAGAGTAATTAAATGTGAATGTTATAGCACTCTTATTGGCAAGTTTGATCCTTTAGGAGAAAGAGCAAAACATTAAACAAGAAATTAACTTTATAACTTAGCAGACATTGGTGCTGCTATCCTGCCAACATTCATGCTTTGGTTTGTGTTGAACATATACATTAGAAGTCTGCCTCCAGTGGCTACATAAGTTAGCATGTTTCCCCTCAGGCTCTGGGCATGGGGCCAGCCTCGGTAAGGCAGTGCTAATGACTGTCGCACGAAGGCCAAATGTCTCACAGCGCGGCCCGTAGACTCTGGCCAGACTTGGCTCACTCTGTCTCGCTCCTGACTTCAGTGGGTGGAAGGGACCGAAATAGGCAGCCATAGATGTTCCACTCATAATCAGCAGTGCTTTTGTACATTTCTCTCATCTGGCAAGGTTGTTTACACTCTTCTATTTCTGGACTTTTCTTTTTGGTACATTTGTCTCTAATGCCTGTAAACTTCTCAGCTGAACTACCATAATGTTCCAGGTTTACTTATTTTCATTTTGTCTTTTAGAGCTCTCACTCCCTCTAATAGTCTGTTCAAGCACCCTTTGATTGTCTTGCACTCAGCGAAGCGTCGGAAAAATTGGTTAGGGATCGTTGACGGTCTTACTTGAGTGAATTTAGAGTAGGAACGGGTATTTTATGGGCAGCAGGCTGCAATGAGGACCTCATTGAGAAAGGATGGGTTTATAGGGGGGGAGCTCTCTTTCTCTCTCTCTCTCTCTCTGGTTCTCTCTCTCTCTCTCTCTCTCTCGCTCCATCTCTCTCTCTCTCTCTTTCCCTGTCTCTCTCTCTCTCTCTCTCGCTCCATCTCTCTCTCTCTCTTTCCCTGTCTCTCTCTCTCTCTCTCTCTCGCTCCATCTCTCTCTCTCTCTCTTTCCCTGTCTCTCTCTCTCTCTCTCTCTCCCTACCTCTCTCTCCGCTGTAAGCTATTGGCTAGCCGCCCATGTCTGCGACACTGAGGAGCTGAGGAGCTGAAGTGGGCACTTTTAGAGCAGCTCCACTGAACACAGGGGCCAAGGACAAAAGGTGTGTGCGTGTGTCTGTGTGTATAAGTGTGTTTGTACACTCTCTTGTGAGAGAGTGGAGCATGTACATGGAAAGCATCCTTTAGGGTCCAGGGAACACATCATATGCTGCAGGCGTGTACTGTACATTCAGAGGTGTACATCATTTGTAAACATCCACAATGCATTCTCTTCATGGAGGATCAGAACTGTGGCTGTAACTGTTAGTGTGGCTGACATTTAAAACTGGATGCTAACAAGAGATAGTAATGAGATAAATAAGATGCTTATCAATCAAGAAATCTTGTTTTTGTGTAGGGCTGAATCAGAAGTTATCTTGAGACACTTTTCATTACAAGTTGGTCTAATCAATACTCGTTATTGACTGGTGTTATTTATCAGGATTCATCCGGAATTCTAGATTTACTGACATGAAATGTTGATTCACTAGTTTTTTAATTATCAATGAGGATGTTAGTGTCGAGTGTGAGTTAAACAAAAACTAACAGGAGACAGTGGTGCGCTGTGAACATTCTCCACAATTATGTTGTTTCACTTTCAAAGGCGGCTGCCAGTTATGATGTTGCCCAGGTACACACTTGGGTTATAATTTACTAATAAAATAAAATAAAAAAACTAGGATATATTAATAAATCAGAACATTGTTATTTACTTTCATACATCTTGTTCTAAGCATACACATTTATACATGTATATATTGCTGCTCTAGGAGACTTACCACTAACATGCACTGCATTCTGGGTGCTCAATGATCAAGAGGGGTTATGGAAAATTCTTGTGAGGGGCTGATCACTGAGATGAAAAGCTCCTGTGTCGGCTGCTTCAGAGAGTAATAAAATGAAATTACAATAAATTTGAAATCCCTGTTCTCTGCCGAGTACCAGAACAATCACCTTGACGACGTCAAAGAGGCCTGACACTTGAAAGCAACCACAGGGAAGAACCTGTCATCAAACATGACGTGTTGACACTTGTTGTCGTCATCGCTGTTTGCGGCCCTTAAGGCTCATCTTCGGAGAGCCAAGCACAGTGTTGAACATGTGCTGTCAAGGTTAGCATGTTGCTAATTCAGCCTCGTGTAATTAACCTAGATGTGAGGGGGGGGGGACTTGGTACAGGTTGTCTGGGGAAAGCTGTGAACATTTTCAGAGACAGCATATTAGAAACAATGAATATGCCTTTTTAAATTCTTCCTCACAGAATCATCTTTCAAAGACATAATTAATGTTTTATAGTTACCGAGAGAACGTGGCAGATTTAACTGTCAGATAAAAAAGTAAACAAAGCAAAGAACCAAATACTGATTATGGAGTGTTTAGAGGTGTGTCCTAGTGTAGCTGTAATCGTTGAAAGGCTGAGCTTCCTTCTTTGCCATGGTTCATATTAAGTGTTTCCCCTAGGTTTACAGTGTTGGGGGGGTGGGGACAAGCTGACATGCCGACACGGCGACACAAACACTGGAAGGAATCTTGGTGTTCATGTGTTACTTTTAATGACAGCTGTCCTTTTCTATCGGAAAGGTATCCTTAAATGACTTTTTTCCCTGATTTCTGACTCTATCCACTATCCTATCTCTACAATAAAGGCACAAAAAGCCCAAAAATAAATCTTAATTTATTTGATTTTTTTACTTGACCTTCAGGGGGGGCGGGGGCCCCCCCAATATAATGGAGCGCTGACTGGAGCCCAGGAGAATAAATGCAGCACTAATGGCTCCTGACATAAAACACCGTGACTTCTCCCTCCATACTTTTGCTCCCCTGAGGACCGAGGGAACACACAAACTAAGGCACAAATGTATTTGGACAACAAAACAAACAGCTATGCTATGTCTACAAATAAATATAGCTACATGCATGCACACCCAAAGGCAAGGACCAATATACGCAAAGACACCCAAAAAGACACATTAGCATCCCTCGGTGCTGCAGGAGAGCTGACGAGAGGAGAAGAGCGTGTGCTGAGTGCGAGCATGCACTGCATTGGTGAAAACAGGACCTATGACAGCCAACCAGTAGGCACCCCTACAAGACTCTTCTAGTCTTTATAGCTAGCTTAAAAGGTCACATGGACTGTGAGATTGTACCTTTTCATGCTCTAAATTGAAAGCAACAAAGGGATAACTAGATTTATTTTCACTTTGAAAAATTCTCAGGGACTCTACTACTCACAGACAAATTCTTCCCCATGAAATCTTTTGTCACAAACAACATACAACTCTTCAACCAAAAGAGGGATTCAATGTGACCATATCGACAAGCTCTGCAGTCATTTTGTGGGCTTCCAGCTCTTTGCACCTGACCCACCACTATCCTACAATTCCCCCATTACCTCCTCTGTGTTGCTGTTCACACATGAATAGCTTGAGTGACAGTGACATTTATTGGCTTGTCCAGACAGCAACTGCATCCGCTCCTCTTCAAACCTTCCCTTGATCTCTGGAGGTATCCAGCTGTGCTGCTTCCCCCCCGAAAGGCACTAATATACCCACATTCAATATGTTGGATTGATTGGACTGCAGGCACACAGGATGGATTGGACAAGTCAATCCACAGCAACATGATTATTATGTATAGGAGGTGGAAATCAACGAGAAGCCTGACAAGATAGATCAGGTCCTCCCTTTGCTTCTCAATTTGAAGTCTCAGATTCCTTAGTTATCCTCTGACTACAAGTTCCTCTGCACTGTTGACTTGATGTCCATGATAGTTGTTTAAATTGGGTTTAATCCAACAGACTGGTTTGTTTTTAAGTCAAATGTACTGGAATCATAAGTGCAGGCAGAAAACATAGACTCGTGTATTTCAAATTCATTTGGAAACTCATTTGGGCATGGGATTAGGGTGACCTGAAAATGCCCCTGTCTGCCCTGCATTAGCATTAGCAGAGAGCAGAAGGGAGGGAGAAGATATCTCACGTGTGTTTTTCCTCATTCTATTTTCAGGCAGGAAGGGAAGAAAAACTTTATTCTTTGAGCATAAGCATCTACCTCTCCTCCTCTTCCTCTCCTCTCTGGCTCCTCCTCTCTGTGTGCTGTCTTCATGGCTCTAATCATGTGGCCATTGTGTATGGATTTACTGCCCTGAGAGCCCCCAGGAGGGAGATTTGATTTTTCCCCTGCACTGGCTAATCTGTCCCTCTTGCCCTCTATTTTTCTTTTCTAATTCTATCTGCTTCTCCTCCTCTTGCAGTCTCTGATGTTTCCACTGTCCTCTTTTTTTTTTTGAGAGTCCCCCTTCCTAGATTCATGTTTTTATTCCCTGGTTTTTTCATAATTTATTTTTTCCCTCTATGTTTTTCCTTGTGCTTTGCACAGAATACTAGTGAGTGATTGAACACTGGCATACTTGCATGCATTATTTCTGAAGATAATCAGTTATCTGGAAATATGCATTACACACTTATTCTTTTGTTGAATTTGTTTTTACTTAAACTTATTGTTTTTCTGTTTTGCAGCCACTCTCACTCTCCTGGCTCCATGGCCGCAGCAGTGCGAGGTAGCGAGTGGTCTTGTGGACGATGCACCTTTCTAAACGCCGGCGCAGCGCCTCGCTGCTCCATCTGTGAGGCGCCGCGCCAGAAACCTGACCTCAACCAGATCCTGCGGCTGAGCAGCACTGAGGAGCACCGCTGGGCATGTCCCCGCTGCACGCTTAACAACCCGCAGGGATCTGGAGCCTGCACTGTCTGCGGTTTCGGACCATCCCCAGCCACTCACACGCCCCCTACCACTACCATTGCTTCGACTGCCAACGGGCTCCCACCCGTTCCAGTTGAACCTCTGACAACTATTGTAACCCCCACAGTTCTACTTGAGCCACATGGACAGCAGCTGGCAAAGGAGGAGGTGCTTCGGCGATCAGAAAGCAATGGAGAGGTGTCTGGTCTGGAAGGCTATCACTCTGGGTGGGCCTGCCCCCGCTGCACTCTCCATAACACCCCTGTAGCTCTATCATGCTCAGCCTGTGGTGGACCCAGGAAACTCTCTTTGCCTAAAATCCCCCCTGAATCACTTGTGGTGCCTGAGGTGCGCACACCTGTGCTGGGGTTTCCTGTCCACACAGCAGGGGCTGCCCCTCTACTCATAGACCTCACAGATGACTCTCCCCCAGCACCTCCGTGTGATCCTCAAGAACCCCCCCAAGTTCCCTCACAGATCCTCTCCTCCCCTTTTCCTTCTTTCTCCTCCTCACTCCAAAACAACCCTGTACCCCGCAGTAGGAGAGAGGTGCCTCCTCCAGGGCGCCCACCAAACCCGGGAACCAACACTCCCAGTCCCACCTCCCCTTCTGCGGTCAGCGTGCCCCCCCAGCCTGGCCAACAGCGGCCTGCCAAGCCTAAACACGCCCAACCCCAGGAGCCCTCTTACCCCAGCAAGCGCCTCAGTATCTTAGAGGAAGAAGACTCTCAGCACCATCCACTAACCCCCCATCTCGCTGTGGCTTCCTCAGCGGCCCCCACCTGGAAGTGCCCTAGCTGCTCGTTGCCCAACCCCGGCTCGTCAAAGTGCGAGGCTTGCCGATCGTCACGTGCTGGTGCTGACCTCATTGACCTCGTGGGCTGTGAGACGGTACGATTCACCCCGGCCAGCCCCTCAAGTCCGGACTTTAGCACCTGGGCCTGCTCCAAGTGCACGTTGCGCAACCCAACCGGTGCACCAAAGTGCTCTGCCTGCGGTTCCTCCAAACTGCATGGCTTTCAGGAACAGCAGGCTCTGCTGCCCCGCTGCTGTTCAAACTGTGGTACTGCATCGTGCTCCTGTACACCTGCCTCCTCTTCATCCTCCTCGGCTCATAAAACACGGAAACTAGCCCGAGGCTTCCCTTCTTCTTCTTCTTCTTCTTCTGTGATTGCTTCTTCCTCCTCCTCCTCCTCTGCCTCATCCAGCCTTCAGGAGAAGGTGGCACAGTGGAGCTGCCCAGCATGCACACTGCTCAACGACATCAAGGCCAAGAACTGTGCAGCGTGCCACACGCCCCAGCAGTACCTCACCCTGCGCAAGGTGGTCAAGCCTCTGAAAAGGAGGGAGAGCATGCATGTAGAGGCCCGTCGGCGAAATGACGAGGGCGAAGCCAAGGAGCTTTGGGAGAACATCGTCAGCTTCTGCAGAGAGGTAAGAAGGTTATGGCTTTGAAAGACATGACACATGGCATCTTTAAAAGCCCTTTTCTCACATGCACTCCTCAAAGCATTTCTTGGACACCCTGCCCCTGAAATCTTCCTGAGTTGTGTTCTTCTTCTGGCAGATATTTTATAAGGGGGCTGGCTGGAAGAGTCCAGATAAAGTCGAGGTGAACGGCTCACCGGAACATTTCAGGACATATCCAGGGATTTTGTGTGAAAAGGCTTATTGACAACAATTAGTTAAACACACACAACCTTTTTGAATTCATCAAGAGAAGTAGAAAATCAGCTTATTCCTTTGCGTCACAGGATGCACATTGCCTTTCACAGCAAACTTTCCTCATTCTAATTCCTCTTGTCTTGTTGTTAATGCACTAGCATTGATCCCACTCCCTCAATCTCTCTAATTTCACAGTATTACTAATAGGCTTTATCATCGACTCTGTTTGCACTTGCTTCGTTAGCAGACTATTAAACGGCCGGCAGGTTAATGTGTGCCACAGAGCTGCAGATTCATTTTCATATTAATACAACTTCCCCTCAGTGGCTGCACTGAACACTAATTCAGAAATTCAAAGGTCTGTGTCGGAGTGAGAGGCTCTGATAAGTCCAGTTTCTTCTGATCTTCTTCTGATGAGACGCTGTTGGTCAATTATGTTGTTTCTTTAACGCTGTTAGAACAGTTGGAGTCAGACTCTATTTCCTGTCCTCATTTGACACCAACCACAATTTAGAGATCTTACTTAGGAATATATGAAACTACTTAATGCAATTAATTTCACTGTATCATAGCAGACCTGTCTGTGAGAGATTAGAATATTCTCATTGTGAATGTCATTTCCCTTCAAAGTGAACCTCACTGTATCAGTTTAGCCAAAGTAATTACAGGATAAAAGGCAGTAAATGATTCTTTTTATGTTAAAACGGGGGCACTATTTTCATTAACCTGCATGAGTGTCAATCATAGTGTTTCTTTTTTCATGACAAACAAAAAGCTCATTATGTTTTTATAATTACAGGCTTGTCTGTTGTCATAACAGCGCTAAGATAATGATGCATTATATCCCATCCAGCGCCTCTGCTTCTGATATTCATAGATCAAGAAGGTTTTGAAGACAGTTGTGTCATTCATGAGCTCTGATTGTTAAAATAGGCCTGAACCCCCCCCCCCCTCTACTCATTCACAGCTGTTTCGAAACCCAGCAATGTCTTCCCCAGCAACCACACTCAACATGTGACAACCTTTATATAAAGGTTGCTCATTTGTACCACATCTCTGGTATTGCTGAACCCCTCATAAGCCTGTATTACGTTGCCATGGAAATGCTTCTCAGGGCTGTCAGAAAGGTTCATTTGAGACCATTTAAGGCTTTATGCTAATGAGGCTAACCTGCTTAGGCTAATTAAACCTCTGAAAATGAGGGATTTGCTCCAGAACTGTTAAGATTCAGGTTATTTTTGGAGGCAGGTTTATATTTTCCAAATAATCTTCACACCATATGCATGTTTGCTTATTACATCTGCAAAATACCTACCATGTTTACATAGCTGGAAGTGAGCTTTTGAATACATTATTAATGACTTGAAAGTCGCAGGGCTCACTGCTGCGAGCGTGGGAGGCAAGTTCCCTCAGTAGGAAGGAAGGATATCAGAGAGCCCCCTACCTTCTTTTTTTTTTTTTACCCCAATCCAAAATGTCAATCCAAGATTGACATTTAAGCTGTTCCTTCATTTATCATCTTTCTATTTCTCCTACAAATGTTTAAGACCTTCCTCTCTCTCTCCCCTCTGCCCCTAAGCGCTATGCAGACTTCTCTCCCTCTTCTCCTTTGTATCCCATCTCCCTCCATCACATCTATCTCCACGCACTCATCCTGTTGTTGTTGTTGTTTTTTTTACTCCTAATATCTCAAAATATGCTTTGCCCTTGCACCCTCCAACCCCCATCCCACCCTCTCCACACGACTGCACTCAATTCTCCAGTGTAGCCGTCAAAATGTGGCTGGCTGTGTTAGTGTGTGTGTGTGTGTGTGTGTGTGTGTGTGTGTGTGTGTGTGTGTGTGTGTGTGTGTGTGTGTGTGTGTGTGTGTGTGTGTGTGTGTGTGTGTGTGTGTGTGTGTGTGTGTGTGTGTGTGTGTGTGTGTGTGTGTGTGTGTGTGTGTGTGTGTGTGTGTGTGTGTGTGTGTGTGTGTGTGTGTGTGTGTGTGTGTGTGTGTGTGTGTGTGTGTGTGTGTGTGTGTGTGTGTGTGTGTGTGTGTGTGCATGCTAAGGTGAACATGGGGCTGGCCTATTTTTAGCAGCAGAGCCAGAGAGAAGAGCAGCAGAAATGATCTGCTTCTCTATAGTGAATGTAATCACTAAGAGAATCAGGTGTTTCAGGGGTCAGATCAGATGAAGCAGGGGTAAAATGTTGTAGTTAGATGCTGGTCTATTAGAATATATCTATGTTAACATATTAGCACTTGGCAAGCCCCGAAACACCAGCAGTGAAAGTTGAATAATGAAAGAAGCTTTTGGATTAACCTGTGACAAAGTGTGTTCAATCTGACCACACAATTATATTTCTTTGGGTAGCTCAGATTTGTTTCCAGACTTTTTTAATAGAAGCTGCTGCTTGTCGTGAAAAAAAAAACTGTATGTTTGAAGCAATCACTGTGGACTGGAAAATAATCCTTTTTACCTGAGTGCAGGTTGTCTTATTTCCCTGGCCTCCCTGGATTTTTTGCCGTCCTTGATTGTTTTGGAGAGCGAGAGGTGTGTTGGTGTGTGCACGCCTGATGGCAGCACCCCAAGCGTGTCCGTTTACTCACTATGCCAAATGAGTAAATGCTACTAACAGCTATCAGCGCCGCTTGTGAACTGTAAAACCCAGCATGGCTGCACGCTGCAACTCTGTTCCCTCTCCATGTCACCCTCTGGGGGAGCAACTAAAACACGCTTCATGGCAACAGATTGACTTTTCGTTGTTGTGTTTTCATCTTTACACTCAAATACTACTTGTTTCTTGGAGTTTTGCCACTCAGGGTTTATCCCTGTGACAGTCCTCTAAGCACCAGCCTGTTCTGAGACGCTTTTGTTTTGACTTCTGAGTGTGACGCTATCTAAACTGTCTCTATAGCTCCTTGTTGCCTCTTGTTTTTGGACATCAATAGATTGTCTGTTACATAGATATGCAGCTTCAGTCTTCAAAAGAGGCCTTTCATGTCTGCTAGTTTTGTGTGGTCTGGAAGACTGCTGATATGTAGCAGGTTTTTCAAGCTGTTCCTCTAATTTGTGTAGCAGGTCTTGTCCAGTGACAGACTCGAGTGAGCAGCAGCAGGTTCAGCTGACAGTGAGCTGAACTTAGAAAAACAAGAAAAACCTCCTTTGAAACAATTAAACTGTATCATTGGATGATATAGGATGATCGTTTTTTTATTATTATTATTTTATTTATAGAAATCCAAATATGTGGTAGTTTCCACTTTTCAAATATCCCTTCTTATATTTCTTTTGATTGTCATGTTTTTCAAAAACAATCAGCTCAAATATGTTGACGATGTGAGAGGTCTGTGCAACAGGAAACTGTTTAAGACGCAGCACCGTCTGGGAGTGAAAGGCTGGATTGAAATCTGTTGAAGCACATGGCAGAGTTTCCAGTTCATATTTGGATGTGCAATTCTCTAACATCAACAGAGCTAACCTTTAACCTGCAGATGAGACAGTGTGAAAATAAACGACTTCCTGCCAAACAGTGAAGTCATCCTCACATTAATAAATACATTCAGGAAATGTGAGAGTCTGCAGGGAGATACAACAAATGTATATAAAATGAGAATCAATCTAAGGATGCATTTTGAGCAGGAAAGGATCAAATTCATGACTGGTGTGACCCCGGCCACTCTCTAAATGACATAAATACACTGGCAATCTTTCAGTACCCAAACTTTGCCAAAATGTGAGGGTGACACCTTCTCTGCTTTCTCTGTTGTAAGAGACATAAGCGTCAATTCAGCATCTTAATGAGAGGATCTGTAGTCTTTCTTAAGAGTTCAGTACTTTTTGATATTGTCCATCATTAACAGAGAACCTTCGTACTTAATGGTACACTATGATCTAAATGTTTGGGAACCTTTGCATTAGAAACATTGGCCTTTAATTTATGTCCTGAGCTTCCCAAATGACAACAACTGACTGAGAAAGGTAGAGTCACTCACACGCTGTGCGTGTTTTATGTGCTCATGTCTCATATTAGAGAATGTTTAGCAAACATCGTACTTGTTGTAGAAGGGCAATCACTAAATGAGTCTTCCTCTAAAGCCATGGTCAGTGCTCATCTTTCTCTCATCCCTCTCTAGTTTTTAGTTACAGGAGTTTAAAGTTCAGTCTGTTTATGCTGCTAAACGGTGCTAAATCCACCCTGACCTCAAAGCCCCCCACAATAAAAGCCTGCACAAGGGTCACACATAAGCCAGTGAGGTACAGAATCGCTAAGAAACATGGAGACCTCAGGTGGTCGGGGCAGCGAGTCGACCCCTGAAGTGATTCAGTCTCGGGGATGATACTGCATCCGGGCTCCAGAATTGGATTGTGGGAGTTTGGCCGCTAATCAATTTTCTCCACTGTGAGCCAGCAGCAGGGGGTCCACATTACACCCACTGGCTGAGGCCACTTCTGACACCACAGAGAGGAAACCAGATATGTGTGCGTCGGCCCTCTCGGGTTTTGTATGGGAGAGTTTTAGATGGGCAGATAGTGTAACGAATTGGGTGTCTCTGGATCTGTTAATGTATCATGTAGTCCAGGTCCTGTGTACAGCAGAGAGGCAGCTAGATTTCAGAGTGTTTAAACCCCAGTGTGTGTCTTTTTAAATGGTCATCATGTGATGTGTCAGCAAGTGATGCGTTTGAAATTTGCTCAAGTATTTGCATATGTATGTCCTGATTCCTGGCTGGTACATGGAGCCACATGTGATCTCCTGCTGTGGACATGTGTGATAACACACTCACATTGGAAGTATTGCCTTTGACTATTTAAATTCCTATCACTCAATTCACTTAATGCAGTCGACCCTGAGCTGTTGATTTAATTTCCCCTTCCTTTTACCCTCTGTCCTCCCTCTTTCTAATTTTCTCATCTTGGTTTGTCTCTTTTTTTAATTAGTAAGGAAACACATGCACACAGACACACACACACACACACACACACACACACACACACACACACACACACGTGTACAACGGTCTAGAGGAAACTGATTAAAATTCTAATCTGTTAATTCTTTGTGTTTTGATTTGTCTTCTTCTGTCCTATGCTTATGCATTCATCACTTTTTCCCCTGTTAGATAAAAAGAAAAAAAAACTACCTCAAAAAGGTGGAAGTACTTCCTCTTTTCACAAAAAAATGGAAGGCAGAAGTTAGTCATTGTTCCCCTCAGAGCTCATGTGGTGGCTTGTAGTGTCCTGTTTGAATCATCACTCACCTGCAAAAGATATCTTCTTACAAATTCAGAGTTGAGATTAACAGTTAGTTAGTGTTCTTTAGGCATTATCAGTTTGAACAGACTTTTTTTTATAAAGTCCTATTTTGATCTCCTTCAGGCATGATTGGAAGTGGATTTTGAGGTTTAAAGATGAGATTTATTCTGCTCATTATCATCACAAGTGTCAAACTGTTTTTGGATGACTTTTAACAGAAGTTGTGATTTCCATGTTTGAACAAGTACTGAAGTTTGTTTTCTTTCTCTCCACTGTCCAGAACACTGTGAACTTTGTGGACGACAGTTTCCCACCGGGACCGCGCTCTGTCGGCTTCCCAGAGGGCGACAGCGTCCAGCAGCGAATCAAAAAGTGGCTCCGTCCGCACGAGATCAACTGCAGCAACTTCAAAGACCGGGGAGTCAAGTGGTCCGTCTTCCGCACGCCACGGCCTTCTGACATCCTGCAAGGCCTGCTGGGAAACTGCTGGTGAGCTATCTAAACTTGACACGAGGACGCTCATCACTCTTGAGAACAATCTGTTGAGTCTGACAATTCATTTACAAGACAAGTGTAAAAACAAGTGTAATGCTCATACCAGGAAACAAGAAGAGCAAAGATTCCTAAAGTGAAGAAAGGTCAGACAGATATAAAACAGTCAACAGATAGCTTTGCACACCTCTGTGGTTTTTATCTGAGTCTGCTTCAGATGAATGCAGCAGCCTAAAGCGAGCAGAGACAGAGATGGAGACTGTGACAGAGAGGCGGAGGAACAGGAAGTAAAGAAAGAAGAGGCGAGAAACTGAAAAATTGGAAGGCGGTTAAATGACGGGGGGGGGGGGGAGCAGGGTCTAGCTGGACAAATGCACAGATACACCTGACAGGGAGATTATTCACAGGACTGCAAGTCTGGACACACACTTTATCTCTCTGCCCTTGTTCTGCGTGTCCTTGCGGGAGTGTGTGTGCGCGCGTGTGTGTTGCCATCCACCAACAAAGAAGAGTCGCTCACAAAGTTGTACCAATACAACTTTTTGCTTCATCGCCGTTGCACACAGCTTATCAAAAATAACCCTCCCCTGAGCCGAATCGTCTCGCTCCAGACGGGATGTAACCCTAATTCATGTGTCTCTGTCTCTTACACACACACACACACACACACACACACACACACACACACACACACACACACACACACACACACACACACACACACACACACACACACACACACACACACACACACACACACACACACACACACACACACACAGACTTGTCCCAATAAACCAGCCAACAAACCAAGCTCACTTCAGCCAGCCAATGGCAGCTCGTCCTTGAGTACAGCTCCACTACAAGCCCAGACATTAGAGTCACATTATGACTGGCCTAATTGGATTTTATATTTGATTTTATTGCAGCCGATTGTTTTTTCAACAGAGGCTGAAAAGGCTGATGGGCATTGCTTAGCTGACACTTAAACAGATGGATATAAAGCTTTAATGACACACGTCTCCAACCCACACAAAAGACTTCCAGCCTTTAAACGGCTGCAGTGTTAACACACGTTGACGGCTTGACTGAATGGGATCATTACTGTCATTCAAGGATGTAGTGGAAGTTAAACCAGTGGTCAAAGCGCTACCTAGTTGGAAAAAATCTTTGTTATTTCATTAACAAAAGCGGCTCGTCGCTCCGCTGCTTTCTCCGACAGTCTCTGTCAGCCGACATACCAAACTACATTCTCTGCCTGTCTCTTTGTTTGACTAAAGCAGGCGTCCATTCAACCGCCTACCTGTCCGTCACCATCAGCTGATCATTTCTGTCTGTCCATCTCTATTTGTCTCAGTGCTTGGTTCAGATTGTCTTTGTTTCAGTCACATCTTTACTTCAACCATCTGTCCCCCTCCTGTGATCCCACGTTTCATTTTCAGATTCATTGACTTTTATTCCCCTTCCCCCCAGGTTCCTGAGTGCACTGGCGGTGCTGGCGGAGCGTCCTGAGCTTGTGGAGAGGGTGATGATCACCAGGACAATCTGCACCGAGGGGGCCTACCAGGTCCGGTTGTGTAAAGACGGGACGTGGACGACGGTGCTCGTGGATGACATGCTGCCCTGTGACGACTATGGCTACCTCCTGTTCTCTCAGGTCAGAAAAGGAAGAAAACATACAGACACTGCAGAATGGATGGAGACCATTATAATGTAAAGAAACTGTATATGTCTTAGAGGGAAGGGAAGAAAAAAGGGTAGAAATAACAGTTTGATACTTTCAGATTCATCATGCTTATTATAGTCACATATATTAGTATGTTTACAGGTTTTTGGCGGTACAGCTGAATAAGTTGTATTGGGCTGATTCTGAGGGAGCTGTGTATAGAATTCTGAATGTGCCTCAAGTGATGTCGTTAGAGTCAGCCTACACGTTTGAAGAAGTGAGATTACATCTGTGGCCTGCTGCTTAGCTCTGCTGGAGGCTAGCAGCCTTACAGCTACTTAACAACACACAGCACCTGAATCTGGGACTCTTCTGTTAGGTCAAGGTTGCATTGTGGGTAATGTAGGCACCACAAGAAAAGAGACCTCTTGAGTAAGGAAGGACAAGATCTCTTGTTCTGTTGCATTCATTTTGATCCTTTATTTGCCTGCTTTAGAGAGTCAGACAATAATAATGAGTGGAATGCTAAAAACTGAAAGCTTTTTAACACAATTATGTGTCAAAGGAATTCACAGAGTAAGGTTGCACCAGAAGAGCTGATTTATAAACAGATAGACGCAGACCAAATAAAACATGGCAGTATGCACCTATTAAGGTACAAGGGGGGTAAAGAGTAATTAGAGTATGCACCTGATGGGTAAAATCCTTTTATTTGTGTTCAGAAACCTTTAAACCTTTGGGTCAGCGCTGACTGGTTTAGAGCCAACATCTTCATACAACCTGGAGTGAACATCACTTCCTCTTACATTCTTCACTGAGTGAAATGTGATATTTATATATATATATAATATTTACTTCTTCCCTTTCCACCCATCCAGGCCCAGAGGAAGCAGCTATGGGTGGCTCTGATTGAAAAGGCCCTGGCCAAACTCCACGGCTCATACTTTGCCCTGCAGGCGGGGCGCGCCATCGAGGGCCTGGCCACGCTGACGGGTGCTCCGTGTGACTCCCTGATGCTGCAGGTCAGCTCCACCAACCCTCGGGAGGAACCCATCGACACGGACCTCATCTGGGCCAAGATGCTCAGCTCCAAAGAGGCGGGGTAAGAGAAGAGTGTTACTGTTAATGTACACAGTTTAAAGTTTAATGTCAGAATACAGATGAACAATGTAGATTTAGTCAGAGTACAGGGGCTGAACAAATAGTAAACATCATTTAGTCACAACTTTAAACTGAGCTACTGTACAAAGGTGCTGAATGCAAACATGAAGCAAATCTCAGGAATGGAAAAGATCCTAAAAGATGAATTCAAGTCCAAACTACAGGTCTGTCTGCCAAAAAACCTGAATTCAATAAATCATATAAGAATGGAAACATTATACCAAACAAAGATCAAATATATCTTATGGCACAGTAACTGTATATGTTGATATTTCTCTAATCTTTAATGGTGTGTGGTGCTTGTCTCTTAGCTTTCTGATGGGTGCATCTTGTGGAGGAGGAAACATGAAGGTAGATGATGTCGTCTATGAGTCTCTGGGTCTGCGGCCTCGACACGCCTATTCTGTCCTTGACGTACGAGACGTCCAGGGTTACAGGTATGAAGAGAGAGAGAGAGAGAGGAATGTAAATAAGATGTGATTACCTGCATATCTCCTCAGCTTTCTATCAGGTCATCTTGTTTCTTTGTATCTGCTTTTACTTCAACCTGACATCTTTGATCAAAACAAAAGGACAGTAGTTTGGCATATGTACGGCCAAAAGTAAGAAGTTTATTCACTTAACAGCAACATCAAAAGCTTACATTTAAAGTCTACATTTTCAAAACAAACTATTTGATTCATACGTCCTATAGACGGCGTGAGGTTGATGCACTTTAAGATGAGCTTAACATTCTCCCAGCTGATCCTGCTGTGCAAAACATTAACAGCTATGACAGAAAGTATCAGTGTTCAGTCAACATTCATTGAGAGGTCTAACTACAACTCCCAGGGTGCAATTTGGCAAGAAACATTGAACTGCATCGCTTGTAATTCTGTTGTTTGTTGTTTTAAACCTTTGCATAATTCTGTTCAGAAATGTGATCATAAAATCTGGAGATGAAATCCATTAAGCTTTCTCTTATCATCAAGACCGGGATACATTTATCAATCATGCAGAGATACAACCCTAAAGATTGAAATGTGTATTAACTAAGGATCAAACCTCTGACATGCCTTTTTCTCTGTAACAATTGTACTGCTCTTTGTATCATTCAGAGACTAGACATGCCAAAATAATCCAAAAAGAGAATAATTAATAGGACCATTGAAAATGGATGTCATGAAGTTTACAAAAAGAGTTTTATAATATTCCCTGGACTGTGTGATTGTGTACAAGAAAAGTTTAAAATGTGAAACCCCTGCTGGAACCATCTGCTCCACTCAAAAAACCCATATCTAAGTCATCAACAGGCTGAATTTGTATCCCCCCTATTTATTTTGCTACATCTAATATTAATAAACATTTTACTTTTTATTTTTAAATCAATGATTCAAACAGTGTTTGCTTAAAAAGAAACTTTTCAGGAAAAGCATAATCGGGGCATTGGTGGTTAGTGCATGCGCCCCATGTATGGAGGCTGTCGTCTCAAGCGGGCGGCCTGGGTTCACATCCCACCTGTGGCTTCTTTCCCGCATGTCATTCCCCACTCTCTCTCCCTTATTTCCGACTCTTCCTACTTTCCTACCTATCCATTAAAAGCACAAAAATAAATCTTAAAAAAAAAAAAAAAAAAAAAAGCATAATCAAAAACAATCCTTTCCCCTAGACTTTGTTGGGCCACGTAGGCTTAGGACAGTCAAACAATGGACTTGGGCCTGCACCTCTGTAAAAGCCTCATTTGAGTTATTCACTGAGATCACAATGAGGCCTAAAAGGACTCTTAATCCCAGAATCCCCTGCGGTACTTCACACCTACGGGTGAAGTAAGGGGGGACCGGAACCTCTCTCTCCTCATTGGAGGGGACCTGAGGTAGACCCCCCATGGAGCAGGCCAGGCTACAAAGCTTCAAGACTTCCATTGCTCTTTCTCTTTCCACGCGCTGACTTCAAGTGTTCGGAGACCCAAGCTCACCTCCTGTTTTCTGCAACCATCTTTCTTTGTTTTAAGTTTTGGCGCGCAGGTAATCCGCGGCCGGCAGTGTTCGAAATTCCGAGCTCGGATTGTCCAGTGAACGCATCTCAGTTTCTCGGAGAGCGTCAGACTATAACAGATTATCAGAACGATAACGGTCTTATCCCGTCCTGCAACGAAAGGACATCAATGGACATCTTTCCACTTGGCGGAGAACCAACGAAGCCGCTTTTGACGTAAGGGACCCTCGCTGCCATCAGACGCCTCTGCACCAGGACGGACACAAGATCTGCTCCATCGCCGGACTCTTTTCTTTTCACCAATTGCGGGCAAAGCGATTCACAAGTGAGGCTTAATTAGGTCTGGGCAGAATTACCTTTAGAGAGTGTTTTTAACAATTGTTTGATTGAAGCAGAAACTGTAATTTTTATCTTTGTTGGACCGCTGCGTCCTGAGTTTTACCTGTTTAAAACTCTTGTTGTTGTTTCGGACCACTGCGTCCTATATGTGTTTAGCGTAACAGCGTTATAACCGGGTATTACTCTTCTGATCAGAAAGGCCAGTGTAAGCCGTATTAACTTGAATTCGGCCATTGGTTTGTTTCTGTGAATGAAGGGAATTACTCCGAGTTGTGGCGCGGGATTCAGACTGTGATCCGGCCTCTTCAGGCACGCATTTATCTTTTATCTTCTATCCACACACACACACACACACACACACACACACACACACACACACACACACACACACAGATCTATACACTCGCGGCCATCCAGACGCCTCAGAGACACAGATCGTGTAGGGCCGAACTCGGTCTCTTTTAGACATTAAGGCCACATTTAGGCCTTTGTTTGGTGTGCGCCATCGGAAGGGCAACCACGTGGGACGAAGCAATCTTCCCCCCCTTCTCTCTCTCGTTCATCCACAGACACACACACACACACACACACACACACACACACACACACACACACACACACACACACACACATTCACACCCCTTCCACAAGCCTTGCTTGATAATGTTTGTTGCTTAGATTAGTTTATAATAGTTATTTGTTTGATTAAGTTCATTGATTTTAGATTGATGTTGCTTTGTTTAATTCTGTTATAATTTAAGAGAGCAGTTGTTTGTGATTACTAAAGCGAAGGTTTTGTGTACGGATTTCACGCCTTCAATTTATTAAAAATAGTTATTAATTATTAATAATATTAGTAATTAAATAACTAATTTGAGACTGATTTGAGTGATATTTTGGTTATATTTACCTGATTACAGGTTGGTGCCCCAAAACGAGATTAAACGTAGTTTAATGATATTTTATTTATATTATTAATAATTAAGTATAATTATTAAAGAATATAACCAAAGTTGACTTGATACAACCCCAAAAAACGGTGCAGCCCGTGTGAGGTCTTCAATAAACCAGCTTTATTGCGCTGTTAATGCACAGTAATCCAAACTTAAATCCTAAAAGGGATCCTTCTGAAGAAAATTATCTTTTCTTCAAATTTTTGTTGTTTAAGCAAAGCAGACATCAAGCTGTGGCTTAGTTGTGTTGTATGTTGTTGGTTAATGGTTAAAGCCATAACTGTTGTCCCCTTTGGGTCCATACAACAATTGGACATAATGATGCAGCTAGTGTGACTTTATCAAGGAACTTGATTTGTTGCATTAATCTAGATTTTGATCCTGAATTATTCTACTAAAGGATTGTGGTGCTCCTGTTTGAGAGCCATTTGGCCAGATGAGAGTGTAACCTCATCATTGTTGCATAGCCAGCTGTCTGAGAGGTGTGAGTTCCTCCCTTCCTTTGAGGACTTGATGTGTGAATCCCCTCTCCTATCTTCCAGGATAGACTGCAGTGATCAGTTGGGAAATTTAGATAAGATTTGCTCTCGTGTACCAAGACCCTAGGTGAGCCGGGAGCTGAGACTCCTTTTGGATCAGACGACGCAGCACTACAAGAAACTGCTGTCGGTCTGACGAACCTCTCCTCAGAGGAGAGTGCCAACCTATATAGCTATTCAATTAGCATTAGTGATAAGAAATTAGAGGAGCTAGTTGATCTTGTCAACCACCGAGCCAGGATCACCCCTAAGAAAGACAGAATGTATGCAGACGACATACATCAACCATGGGCCAAGGCTCACTGTGGATCAGACAATCCACCCCTTCAAGGCGTAGTTGCTAATCTTATCCACCTCCCTATAGAGCAGCTCGACAGCCTGAACTCCTACACCCTCAGCACATGTGAAGAGAAACTAAAGGGCTTGGTTGAATATGCAAATCAACCAACTGGGAAGCCAACACGTACAATTTCAGATGTTCTAGGTGAAATTTTCCTCCTTTTATCAGCGCAAATCAAATGTGCAGAATGAGATACACCGGGAACAGCTAGCCCGGGTACAAGAAGAAGGACAGATCCTGCGGGACGACTTCGAAAGAATGCAGGATAAACTAAAGACCTTCCAGGAAAATTGCAAGGCCCTGCAGGAGGAGAATAAAACACTGCATAGAAGCAGCAAACTGGCCGAACAGAAGAAACAAAGTGACACGGTACCCAGATTTCAGGATAGGCAGGCAAGTACTGCAGCCCCCAGATCAGCTGAGGGAACCTCAGACGAAGGATGGGAGACTGAATCAAGCCCATGGAGAGGGAGACAGACATGTTTAAGGATCTGGAGGAGAGGGGAAGATACCGCCGGGTCGACCCAGGCACAAAAGCGCACACGTCCCCGGTAAGGAGCTGGGTGAGTAAAGATGAAGGGCGCCACGCCCCCCCAGACCATGAAGCACCGTCATGGGGAAACGCCCCATGGCCCCCGCGTTCCACAATACGCTTTGAGTCAAGAGAACCCTCATCCCGCAGGAAGAGGGACTTTATGCCCCCTAGAGACAGGGAGGAGGCACGGGTCCAGTCGGGCACCGAACATTACCTGTCCCATGATAGACGGCCACGTCTGAGCCGAACACAAACCCCGCCACGGTTGCAACCGTACTACCGTGACAACCACAGGGCTTACGACTCGGACGGCCCTCGCTAGCCTCCGGGTCAGGGTCTGCGAACCAGGCAGATAGAACCTCAGGCCAAAGATCTGAAGCGCTTTGACCCAGATAGCCCAGATTCAAGTATTAACGACTACCTTAGAGAAGTCGACCATTGTCTCTTTGACCTGCCTCACGCATCCTCACATGAAAAACTGAAACGGATCTGGAAGATTACGGCTAGGAGTGTCCGTGCTTTCATGGGGACACTCCGGTCCGGTCCTTGCAGAAAGGAAACAAATCTGTTAGTCAGCACTTACAAACTGCCAAGCAGAAAGTGTTGGACATGTTTGAACTAATTCAGGGAGCACAGGTAAGCATGGAGCAAGACATATCGTCAGGATATGACTCTGATCCTGGACCAAGGCCCTTTAGAGATCAAACAACCCTGCTGAAAAAGCTCAGTAAAGAACCGAGCAGCCAGGATAACCTAAGGACTGAGGAAATAAGTCTAGTTTTCCCTGATTTTGACTGTGGAGCCCCGCTCCTTGGGGAAACGCCCCAGTTCCCTGACAGCTGTGACACCCTTTCACACCTTCACAGGTTTGAATCACCACATAGGAAGGGGGGTGACTTCTCAGCCCCCAGAGGCAGAGATAACACCAGGCCCCCTCCTGCTACCTGTAGGTTCCCATCTCAGGATTCACAGCTGAGGAATATCCAAACCTCAGATGACTCGGATGGCTCCCTTTTACCCAGAGATCAAAGAATGCGCATAAGGCTCATTGAATCTATGGCAAAGGATGTATAGCGGTTTGATCCAGATAACTCAGACCGCTGCATCGATGATTACCTCGGAGCGATTAACCTGTGTCTCAGTGAGGTACCTGATGCATCCACAAGAGAAAAACTCAGGCTGATCTGGAAGACAACTTCCAAGAGTGTCCATAACTTCACGACTACCCTTAAGCCTGAGATCAGATACCAGTACTCTGCACTCTGCAATGCTTTGCGACAGGAATACTCCACCTACATTGACCCTGCATCTGCCCTTCTTAGTGCGTTCAGTGTCTTGCACTAGAAGCACAAGGCCCCCAAAGATTATTACTGGCGACTAAGATCTGCATATTTCCAGGGATGTGAGGCTCCAGGTTTGGAGGAGAACCCAACTTTCAAGTCCATCTTCATGCATAATCTGCATGGCTGCGTGCGTTCAGATGTCACCATGCATAGTCGTACACATCAGCTTAATATGAAAGAGATCAAGAGATTCGCACAGGCGGTTTGGCAGACACGCTTAAGTCACGTGTCATGTGAGGGCAACAAGTTGCCTCGTGCTAGGAATAAGCATAAGAGACCACATCACCGGCAGAATAGAGAACAGAGCCAGGGGGGTGAAGGTGGGACACAACCACAGAGTAGGTTCCAGCCTGGAGAACTGATCACTACCAGATCCGAACGGAACTCTCAGGATGGCCGTAGCCTGAGACAGAAAGGTAGGTATAACCGGAGTTCCTACGAGCTCCCGAAGGAAGCAAGTTCTGACAGTTCTGCCAGGGAGTTGGAGCGCATGAAAGAGGTGGTATGTCAGGGGGTCTCCCTCGCTTACAGAGAACCCGATTCTGACTTCACATAGGAGTGGGTGTGTAGCCTCCATTCTGGAAATACAACAATGTCACTCTACCGACATGAATGTTTCCTAGTCCCTGTTTTGTGTTTTGACATTGGTAGGGAGACACATAATGTACATGTACATTTACACACCTACATGCCACAAACACCTTCCCACAGGCTTACTCCTGCCCAGGCTAGGAGTTAGCCCACAAATCTACACCTGATACTCTTCTCTTTCTCTCCTCCTCTTGTCTGTTTGTTTCATTTGTTTTGTTAAAGAATGCACCTTGAGTAGCAAAGCTTTGCTAATGCCTGGTTATGTTTTATGCCTAGCTTTAGACATAGTTAGACAGTCTGCCCAGATTTTGCCTCAGTGTCTGCCCAGACCGAATGCCTTTCAAAATGTATGGACTTTTTGCTCACTAACTATTTGTTAGCACACAGATCGTGTAGGGCCAAACTCGGTCTCTTTTAGACATTAAGGCCACATTAGGTCTTTGTTAGGTGTGCGCCATCGGAAGGGCAACCACATGGGACGAAGCAATCTCCCCCCCCCCTTCTCTCTCTCACACACACACACTCACACCCCTTTCACAAGCCTTGCTTGATAATGTTTGTTGCTTAGATTAGTTTATAATAGTGATTTGTTTGATTAAGTTCACTGATTTTGGATTGATGTTGCTTTGTTTAAATGAATTCTGTTATAATTTAAGAGAGCAGTTGTTTGTTATTACTGGTTGTATTTGCATTATGATATAAGCTGGGTGCGAAGGCTTTGTGTACGGATTTCACGCCTTCAATTTATTAAAAATAGTTATTAATTATAAATAATATTAGTAATTAAATAACTAATTTGAGACTGATTTGAGTGATATTTTGGTTATATTTACCTGATTACAGGTTGGTGCCCCAAAACGAGATTAAACGTAGTTTAATGATATTTTATGTATATTATTAATATAAGTATAATTGTTAAAGAATGTAACCAAAGTTGACTTGTTACAACCCCAACAACTTAAATTATCATTTTATGATAAAACATATTAATATATAACATCCTGAATTGGGAGTGGATTGAACAGATACTCAGCACAGGGGTTTCTGGGATGATTCTGAGGTAACGGGGGTAGAGGCTTGTTGTCAGTGGAGAACAGGTGCACGCTGCCTCCTGATCGCTTTAATCATGATAGCATTGTGAGTCAACACAATGAAGGCTTCCTCTGTCCCACCTGTGAGAGAAAGTTGAGAGGAGCCGTAAATCCCAGACGCAATTTGCTCGAGAGCCACCCAGAGCCACTTTCATTTAGTGCCATGAAACACTCGGAGTGGAAGACTGGGCCTGAGTGCTTCATCTGAAACAAGCTGCCCGGAGGAGATGAAAAGCAGCTTGGAAGCAGTGATTCACCTGCCCTCCCTCTTTTTGTTGGAGAGTGGGGACTCCACTATGGTTTTCCATTATAACTCCTGAGTTTTTCACTGTAGGGAGGAGGCAGGCAAATGAAACGGGTTGTTAGAAAATAAGGCAGTCATCCATAAGAGGAGCAATGTGAGCCTGCAGAGATGAAGACTGAAAGCAGCTGAACCAGATCCTCATTTGGCTCCTTCTTTCTGTTAATAACTCCCTCCTCCTAATACCTACTTTCTGTCCGTGCTTCAGGTTGTTGCGGCTGCGTAACCCGTGGGGTCGCTTCTCGTGGAACGGCAGCTGGTCAGATGAGTGGACAGACTGGCCGCAGCACCTTCGTCACGAGCTGATGGCTCACGGCAGCAGCGAGGGCGTCTTCTGGATGGAGTACACAGACTTCATAAAGTAAGAGTTATGTTTAAAGCACACGATACTAACTTGGAGGAGGGCGTGGGATTCCTAATCTTTCTTAAAGGGAGTTTTGTTTTGTCTAGTTTTATGGAGTGTGGGTGCAGATGTTACCACTATGACATCACAAAACTGATATCACAAGGAGCTGATGAAGAACATGATCTGTACACTACTGATCTACCTACATAAAACATACTTTACATTTAGTCTGCTGACTTTTCTGTTTTCTTTCTAGCCTTTTTGCGGTCGGGCTCCTAAAACTGTCTTACAGTTGAGTGTACTCCTTTTCTGCTCTTCTGATATAGAGGCTGCCTCAAACTTTCAGACTCTTCATTCACTCTCTTATTTTAAATTCCTCCCCCCTAGTGGCCTTTAGGTGCATGCCATGTTCTGTGATTGTTAAGATACGTCAGCAAATACTTTTCAGATATATAAACATTAGGTTAACTGTACCCACGTGGAGTGAGACAAAGTTGTTTGTGTAGTCAGCTTAAATAATGTCTTCATTTATTTTTGACCTCCTGTGATGTACTTGTGCATGCCCGTGTTGCAATTATAATGTTATTGCTTTTACTTGCAACCCCCCCAACTCCCAACAGCTAAATGTTGAGTCCTTCATGAGAGTGTAAATGTGCAGGCGTAACATCTGTTTATGTCTCATTATGTTTCTATAACTTTGAAAACTCATCTCAGTATATGTGTGCATAGCTGTAGCAGCAATATCTCCTCTGTGCATTTGTTCTACACTTCATCTGAAATACTGAACATTTCTTGGCCCTTGCTACACTCTTTCAACAAGGTTTATGAAAAGCAGGCAAGTGTTGACATGATTCTGCTGAAAACAAGCGACACAGACACAGATGAACAAATGGCACAGACAACAGAACTTCTAACTTTCCAAATGTCCTGTAATTACATCATGATGGATTCACTGAATATGATGAATGGCTGAGTTATCTTTGCGTTGTGTGGATTTAGCTGACCATCTGGCATTGGCTCCAAACTGAGTGACAGCGTTGTTGTTGATTTTAGTATGCTTTGTTTGTTATGAGTGCATCATTCTCCTGTTCCTCTAACATGGTGTTGTTATGGTATTGTTATCTTTCTGTTGTTGTTGTTGTTGCCCAATGATTTGGCAGGCAGAGGCTTGGACTTGTCATGGCTCTCAGTCTGTCTCGTGGTCATATTAGATTCATCCTGCCACTCTCAGCCTTCTCTACTGACTGGTGGTTTTTTGACTGTTTTTCTGTTTGTTTGAAAGCATGCACGTCCTTTTTCTTTCAGAGGTTTAATGTCCAGTGACCTAGTGGACATCTGTGAACCTGTGAATCTGTGACTGGAAGGAGAATAGATAAAGACATGACCTCCATGTGAAAAGTATTTGAGTGCACTTACACTGCACTGAAGAGGTCCTCTTTAGGTGGCCTCCTCCAAAAAACCACCTTAAGCACTTAGCGTGTTGTTAAATGCAGCTATAGAAAGGTTGACATTGACAATCAATAGAAAAATATTATATCTTTTATACTAGAGCCTGACCGATTAATCGGCCGATACAAGAATACCCGGTGGTATCGGCTCATTGTATCGCAGATATGCGCCGATGTTACTTGCTTTATTCCCCAGTCAAATAGCACATCATTTGAGGTTCATTATATTAAACTAGCAGTTGTCTTTCACCAGCAGTGTTCGCTTTATGGATCTAACATCATCACCCTCCTGAGTGTCAGGCGGTGATGCATGTACATGCACAGTTACTTTCCAGTTGAGTGACCATCTTCTCTTCATTAAATATCTTTTCCACAAGTGTAACTGCTTTTGAGGGATCAACACTGAAAATATGTATATCTATATTTATCTGTACAGAATGAACATAGATCTATGAAAGATATCAGCTGATGTATCGGTATCTGATTTATTTTCTCCCCGATATTGATATCGGCATCTGCCCCAAAAAATCCCAGATTGGTCGGGCCCTAATTTAAATTTACCCATTAAGCCTGACTTTAAATAAGGAATTATTTATAGACACTGTGTATATATATATTAACTGTATTTTTTATTTTATCTTATAATCCAGTTTTTAACTGTTAATACTATTATATAGTTAAAACTTGCCTTGTCATTTATCTGTGAAGCTCTTTGAACTGCAAAAAGAAGATGCTGAAAATAAGAAGAAAGTGTTCTTATTAAGAGAAACGATGAATACCTTTCAGCAGAATAACAGATGGAATTAAAAGCAAAGCCTGATATGCTAAAGGAGAAAATTAAGTGAAAGAAGTTCATTCACGCTTGAGAAAAATGTGACCTAAGAGACAGGACCATAATAGACTGGAAATGAGCTGATTTTATTTTTTTACCATCAGCAAATCATCTGATTTATGGAAGTTGTCTGAAAGTCCAACACATAAGTAGAGTCACCTAAAAAGATGAAGCGTGTGTTTTGGTTGTGTTATTTATGTCCCCTCTAACAGAATAAGAGTTGCAATAAGACCAGAAGGATCAATAACCTGGCTGTCCTCGTGTACCTGAAAAATGTATTCGTTCAAGACCAGAATCCCATCTGTCTTCACACTGGTTATTGTTTTCTGTGACGGGGAAATCATCTCAGCTCTGATGCTGTAAGACAAACATACGGCCCCCGTTAAAAATAAAAATTGGTCAGCTTGTTGTCGGAACATCAAGACACTCACATGCACACAGCAGACAAGTATGACTCGTGCTGATTATTAAAGATATTTCAGAAAGACATGACGAGACTACTGCAGACGTGTTCTTCTCCAGGGATGAAAAGCATACTGTAAGACTTGAGAGTTTTCTTCCTCTCTTCTTCCTGATTTTCAAAAAGAGCAAAGCACCATGTAAGGCAGATGTCAAAGTGAGGTGGGGAAGTGATGAAACAAGGAAAAACAGACTCAAAGTGTGCAAGAGAATATCTCTCAGGGGCTTTGGCTTCAAAAGAACAGGTCTGATATGTTAGGGAGGTAAATGGTGTTTGTTCTGCAGCACCCTCCGAGGCTATCCTATCGTGAACCAGCTGCTTGTGATGCATACAAATAGACATAGCGAGGAGGATCAGAGGGTCACATTGTTCCTTCCTTGATCCTGCATATGCAAAGCAAATCTATTTATTCTCAATTGTCTCCTCTCACAGGTACTTTGACTCAGTGGACATCTGCAAGATCCACTCAGACTGGCAAGAGGTGAGACTGCAGGGCTGCTTCCCCAGCAAGGCGAGCGGGCCCGTCACCGTCACGGCGCTCACCGTGCTGGAGCGGACGGCGTTGGAGTTTGCTCTCTTCCAGGAAGGAAGCAGGTAAACATGACAGGGATCATTTATTTTTAACACTCACCCTCTCCTTCCCTACATCTTTCAGTAGTACTGTTCACTTGAAATCAGCTGATTGTGCAAAAGCTAAGCGCTTCAATTCCTTTCCAGGCGTTCAGACACGGCCGACAGCCACCTGCTGGACTTGTGCATCATGGTGTTCCGAGCGTCCTTCGGCAGCGGCAACAAGCTGACTCTTGGTCGCTTGTTGGCTCACAGCAAGCGAGCAGTGAAGAAGTTTGTGGGCTGTGATGTGATGCTAGAGCCGGGCGAGTACGCTGTCGTCTGCTGCGCCTTCAACCACTGGCAGATGAACGTCAGCGGGACGGGAGGACCCCCCACACCAAGTAGGTGTTTCAGACTTTACACACACAACCTTTTCATTCCATTTCTTATTCTTATTCAGGAGACACAGTATGATAATAGTCACATGGGAGGCAGGCGAGCCAATCCCCACACAGCCTTCAAAAATGTCCTAACCAAAATGAGTAGCTTTGTGAATGATGTAGGAAGAACTATTTTAAGATGCTTAATCAGACTCTTAACTTAAACACTTAGATGCATTTGATCTGATTTTGAAGTATCTAACTGTCTTCCTCCCAGTCTCAAGCCCCACCAGTGGAGCAGCACGACGGCCAAGCCAGGAATTTCCCGGCTACGTCTTGGCAATTTACAGCTCCAGACAGGTGATGGTGGAGCAGGTGGAGGCGACTGCCACCACGCTGGCCGATGCCATCATCCTGCTCACAGAAAACAAAGGCGAAAGACATGAGGTGAGAGCAATAAAACAAGCTGTAGCTGTGTGAAAAAAATCACTGCTGGGTCTGCCCTCACCTCACTCTGTCACACACACACACACACACACACACACACACACACACACACACACACACACACACACACACACACAGTTTGTTCATCTCTGAATATATTATATATGCTTGTGAAGATGCAGAACGCTTGCAGCTCTGTAAGCCACTTTGAGATAACACTTTAGATTTCCTCAGCAGAGTCCTGAATCCCATTCTGCTTTTACACTTGAGAGTATCTCCCCTACACACAAATACACACACACACACACACACACACACACACACACACACACACACACACACACACACACACACACACACACACACACACACACACACACACACACACACACACACACACACACACACAAGGAAGGAAATTATTCTGGCTCTCCTGAACAGTGTTCCAATAAAGTGGCTTTTTGAACACTTGAGATCATCATTGTTAAGTCTTTCAGCTCTCCAGGAATCCAGCGCTCAGAGAAGGTGGGCTGAACACTTAAGGATTCAGGGCTGACACTACACGAAGACAATCAGAGCAGTCCTCAGTCAAAACAAGAGCACATTTGTGTTGTGTTTTTTCAGGGCCGGTGCTTCTCTTTTTTCGCAGTTATTCAAGAGTCATACTGCCAGAAACTTATCGGTGTCTCTGCAGATAGTAGCCTCCACACACCAGAATGTAGTGCAGCCACAAGATATATTCTATCAGGGAAAAACCTTCATATTGTGTGCTATCAGAATAAGAATCATGCTCTACACCCACAGCCGTCTATGTTATGAGGTTTGCTCAAAGAATACAAATGGAGGTCGTGCAGATGAATCACACACACAACGTGAACCATTAACACATTTAGAATCAATTTAATCTGAGCACACAATGACTAAGATTTTCTTGTACTCAGCAGCCACTTAGTAACTTATTCCACATTCTGTCTGCTGAAATGCTCATTGTTCTTAAAATGCAAACTCACGTCAAATGTCAAACAATGTTTTTTATTTTATTTTATAAGGCGAAGTATGTTTTAAATAGCATGATGTAAGCTGATGTTGAAAAATGAAGCCAGTGTAGTTGTGCAAAAAAATGTGCAGTTCCTCAAGTGTCCATTTGAGACTGGCTCCAAAAATGAAGGAATCTCCATTAGGTCCCATTTTAAAATGTCAAATTTTAAAAGCAGAAATAAACATGTTTGCAGCCTGGTTAAAAACATGGTTGTTGACTCTAGAGTCTGCATGAGGGGTTCATGTTTACTTCTAATCTGTTTTGATTCTATTAGGCTAAGAGTTTTGTATAATTAGGCTTAGTCTTCGTTAGCTAAATCCTGTTACTGACCTCAAACCATCCACTTTGTCTGCGTTGTTTTCATCTTTTCAAATATGCCAGCTACATGACGAGCTAGATGATATTCATTTAGTCCATCTCGGCTCCACATCTTTGCCTGCTGCTTTTCCAAAATGGCATCTTCAAATCTTTTCTGTATTTCCTGAGTGATATTAGGCTGACACACAGACAGAACATCATCCTCACAGCAGTATTTTTATTTCATGTATGACTCAGCCGTCGCCTCTTTGTTCATGTGTGCGCTCTCAGGGCCGGGAGGGCATGACGTGCTACTACCTGACCCACGGCTGGGCGGGGCTTATTGTGGTGGTGGAGAACCGCCATCCCAAATACTACCTCCACGTCTCCTGTGACTGCACTGACAGCTTCAATGTGGTGTCCACACGGGGAAGCCTCAAGACCATCGACAGCGTGCCTCCTTTGCACAGGTACACACACACACACACACACACACACACACACACACACACACACACACACACACACACACACACACACACAGCTAGAGATCTGTGTTTCACTGGAAGCTTTAACCTAAATAGATACAACAGTGGAATAAATGAAATGCTCTGGGAACATGCTGTGCAGGTGCAGCAAACATCCTTAGAAGATTATATCTGCACACATATACTCACTTACTGAACATAAACACAGTTATCCCAGAGGATTATCGCTCCATATCTCTTAATAATCGACCGAATGCTAGTCTCAGCACAATTAGAACTGCCTTTGTCTCTCTTCTGGTCTTCTGTTTTTTCTCTGCCTATTAAAGCAAATCCAATAAAGACCTGAAAATACTGCTCTCGCTTACACACCTGGAGCACAGAGGAGCTGTCCACACCTCATTAAGTTCTCCAGGATTTTGCTTTATCTGACATCTTCTATATGAATGTGTCCATCGTCCAGACATTTACGTGATTTTACCACCTTTATCACCTTAAAGTTATGTCCCACGTTATTGCAAACTGTAAAAAGGCACCAAGCATGAGGAGCTTTTAATGTCATTTTCCGTCATCGTACAATAATATTATTTTCCTCCTCTCGGTCAGACCTCAGTGCAGCCTTATTTTCTAATGTTCTTATAAGGTGTTATACAATCAGCTCTTAGGTAAAATGATTTAGCAGTTAAGTAATCAAATGCTTAAGACTGTAGAACTGTGATTTTTGTCTATTTTTTTTTTTTTTTTTTACTCATTTCCTGATTTCCCGTAAACACATTGCCTAATCAAGTTCCAAAATGGACAGAATCAGAAAACCTGCTACAATAGTGCTGATTAATCACATTTTCTTCTGCAAATCCAACCTTTCACTTTGCCAACAAAGCTTTTCCAAGATCTGTGTAACACTAAGGGTCTGTAACCAAATGATTAGGAGGGGAAGAGGGCAAGAACATTTCGTGTTTTTTCCTCTTTACTTTTCTAATAATAGTAATTACTAACGGTTGCATTTAATGTACCTTTATAAAATAGTATTTATGTGAGTTGACTGGAATGTGGAGTGGGGTAAAAATAAAAGTGTGATTTCTGTGGTCTTCAGTAGCTCTTTAATTGAAAGTTAGCTGTATTTTCTTTTTATTATTTCTGTAAATATATTATCCTAAGACATTAAAGGATGGTATTCTCACTTTGGAAGATAAGAGGACGGCTGGAAAAAATCTGTTGTATTTTTCAGCACCCCTCCTTTAACTAATAATTGAATACAGTCTTTTACTTAACAACACCCTAAACAACGCACAAACAAATATTTTTACTAAACTAAAACCCTTTTCACACAAATCTCCTGAAAAACTCTTGAGATTGGTCTACCCGGAGGTTCTTTAGGCTATGTGTGAACGCAAACAGACGCATTTTTCATGCGGACTTTACCAGGAGTTTCTCCGGCAAGACCCCTAGTATTTTATCCACAGAATATCCGAGTGAGCTGATGTCTGAACACGGCCGTCGCGACGCGACCACTACGATCTCCATGTACGTAAATAAACGGCTGCATTCTGTTTTCTGTTCGTCAGTATGTTGTTCTCCACTCTTTTGTGGATGTTGTCATTCCATTGGATTACACATAGTATTGATATAAAGACAGATATTGTCATTATAACGGACTCTGTTGCTTCGGCTGCTACTTCCGCGTTGTTTATTTACGTCATGTCTTACCTCGGGAAATCTCTCCCCCCCCCTCTGACAGGGAAAGTCCCCCACTGTGAGGAGCATATGTGAACGGCTAGGTTGGGAGAATCTCCGGAGCATTCCTCCTATAATGATCTAGATATTATCCGGAGTGCAGATGTGAAATCATCTTTAGTAAGGTCTTAAAGTGTAAATAATTTCTTTCAATGCTCTCTGTGTCCCCCTGCAGGCAGGTGCTGGTGGTGCTGTCCCAGCTGGAAGGAAACGCCGGCTTCTCCATCACCCACCGCCTGGCTCACCGCAAAGCAGCCCAGGCCTCGCTGGGAGACTGGACCCCCACCAAGGCCACACACAGCCCCCAGCTCACTCCAGACATTGACGGCCTGCACAGACCACGGCCGCTATGACCACTGTCCACGTCCTCGCACACACAGACGTTTTAGTCCATTAAAGTGTCAGAGCACTGGAAACCGGGCGAGGGTTATGATACACACCTGAATGTAAAGCACTATGGAGAATTTTTGTGCTGTAACGCACCATAAAGTCTTCATCCGACCTTGCAGGATCTCTCCCTTGCCAAGTGGATGTGCCATGTCCGGATGAAACAAGGGAAGCAGGCAAAAGTATTTTTCACACAGGATCCAGTTTAGACTACTTAAACTTTTGGACATTTTGGTACGAGCGCTGTACGTGGAACTGATGTCATCCCCTGCTCGGAAACAGGGTGGAATGCCGTAACTACTGAGCCATTTTCCGGCCCACATTCTTTGAGCCAGCCTCCTGCAACGATCAGACATTTAACCCTATATTGTCCACAAAGTAGGAGACTTCAGGGGGAGTTTATCTTGGTACTTACAATGAGCCAACTTGTAGTTTCACTCAAATGTCGTCGTGGTTTTTATTATTATTTGAGAACACACACATTGGTCTTACTTGTTGTTTGCGCCACCCTTGTTGCGGTCTTGTCCATATTTGGGGGTTTGAGGAAATAGAAAAAGCCATCGTTCATATTGTACTGTGTTGCATCATACTTCATATTGGGTGGAGTGGTGTCCAGCCCCTCTAGCTCAGGACCAAACCCAGGATTTGTAAAGTTAACCAGGGTCAAGCTAGTCTTAAAGCTGATGTTGCTCAGACTGCTGGAGTAACTGTGGTAAAGAGCAGTGTCGTTGTGAAATACTGGCACATAATAATATAATTCCCACCTGCATGGTTTGATACACTAACATTCAATTGTTTCTTTCCCTACAGAGGAACAACCACTGTAGTGTTTTCTCCCCCGTCCCCCTTTACTTTAATTCATCTTCACCTCACTTTGGGGTCTAAATGCTGCAGGCGAGTAATTACTTGACCAGGTTTGTGATTTTCCCCCTCAGGCACAGCACGCTGGATTTACCCACACACTTTATATCTTTACTCAAATCCACACTTGGGGAGCAACTTTCCTGCCTCTAGACATTATAAAGTGCGAGTTAATGCTGCATGTTACGCTCTTGTTTTGGTACTTGAAGGTCAGAGAGTATTTGTGTGTTCCTCACGCTTTCCACAGTTGTCGGTTTACACTTTGAGAGAGCGATGGAGGAGCTGCTAGCTGTTTGAACACTCACTTTGCCATGAGGGAGCTCTTAAGAGGAGCTGTTAAGTTAACTTCAGGAGGTCAGGGACTGTTCTTTTTTTGTTTGCTCGAGTGCAGCATGAGCATCTGGGCCACCCTCCCATAAGAATACACCGACGGCACATTAGCGACAGCAACGGCATCCTTGTGTAATAACAAATTAGTGTTCAGTCAGACTGCGTGCTCATATCAGGAGAAAGAAGGGACCCTTGAGACGTGTTGTGACACTGAAAGGAGTCTAGTCACTGCAACGTTGCTTCAAAGGATGGTCCTGTTTGCTTCTTGTTCTCCAGTGTCAAAAAAGCCATTACTCCTCATTTGCCTAAGATCCATCAGTCCACAACACAAATGTTTTGTCATGGAGAAAGGAACGTGGTACTATTGAAGTGAGATGAAGGGAGAGACTTGTCAAGGAAATGCTGTTTAACTTTTATGTGGAGAAAACTTGAAAGCTACCATGCTAAATTCCTGTATTTCTCATATAGTGACTCACATTTAAAAAAAAAAAAAAAAAATGCTATTTTTTTTCATTTTCAATTCAAACAGTATGAGGTGATTCACATCAGGACTTTAAGCTTGACTCAAGGTGAAGCAACCTTGAGTCTAACAAGTGCTGAAACATGTCATGTCATGAGTATTGGCACTGTGTCCCCATTTTTGCAGTCTTACTCACGAGCAAACCAACCAGAGCAGTTACTAGGAAAAAAACAACTGAACGTATGTTTTCCAAAGAGACATAAATGTCAAACGTCCACTGTCAGAAGTCCTGAGTTTATATGTCAAAGTGATTTGCAGGTCTGTTTTGTCTGAAAATTGTGGAATACTGAATGACAGAAAAAGGAATGTGATGTTCTGTGGAGTGAGTCTGACGCGAAACCTGCACTGAAACACCTGCAGTGACAAAGCACCTCACACATTCAGTGTCACTGCTGGATCATTGTACCTTTACACCAGATATTGTTTTTATACTTTAAATTTGTCATAACTGTCATGTTGGCTCTAGCTGGTGTCCTCTGAACCTTTCCCTCTTCTGTGAAGTAGTGTTGGTGACTCTTCTGTGTTTCATGGGCGCCCCCTGCTGTTTGAAGAGGCTACAGTAAGATGAAGAAAAAACAAAAAACTAGCTGGTCGTGGATTGACCAGCCAACACACACAGCGCCTTCTCCCTCCTTTCTCCAGAGTCTGGTCCCTCGTTCTTCTTTGTAAATTGTACAGACGGCAAACTTAAGCCACACAAAACTATAGAAAATGGAAAAAAAATGAACGATCCTTTTAAAAATTGTAAAAAGAAAAGAAGACTATGATGGCAGAAACAAAAAATACACCCTAATGCTGAAAAAATGGAACTCTTGATGAATGTGATATATATTTTATTGATCTTTTTTGGCGGGGCAACATGAATATATGTGTATAAAATATGTATGTTTAATTTTCAATCTCAGGTTCCAATGGACCAAATAAATTTTTTAAATTAAAAAAACATGTCTTTTTTTTTTTTACAAGGAAATTGTCTTAATGCATTTTCTCAATGTGCATTTTTTTTTTTTTTAAAGGGACCAAAGACATTTTCTGTGTTTGTGACTCATGCAAACAAACTCTTCAGTTGTGACTGATGAGTAATAGAATGCTTTCAAGCTCATTTATTCAAGCAGGAAAACAGTATAAAGTATTCACATTTCTAAAGTGTTTTTCATTTACTTCACTTTTATTGATTCCAGAGTGACACTTTTTGATGTTCTGATCTTCAGATCCTCTCTGCACTTCGTCTCCTGGGCTTCTTCTCTCTACATCATGCGGCTGTGGCTCAGTTGGTAGAGTTGTCGCCTCTCAACCGGGAAGGTTGAGGGTTTGGTCCCCAACGGAGCAACATGTCTGTTGTGTCCTTTGGCAAGACACTTAACCCTGAATTGCTCCCACTGCTTCATTGGTGGTGTATGAATGGATTAGTTACTTCTGATGGATCGCTACCATCAGTGTGTGAAAGGGTATGAATGGGTGGGTGTGACATGTGGTGTAAAAGTGCTTTGAATAGTCGGAAAACTAGAAAAGCGCTGTATAAGCTCAAGTCCATTTACCATCACAGTGTCCACTTCCTGAGTGTGTTTTTGCAGAATGTATTTCCCTGATACCACATGGTTACTCCTCACCCCACCCTTCATTTTCTAAAAATGTACTGCACACACACCCCCCCCCCAACCTCATATTCTTTATACTATCTCCCCCAGCCCTGGGGCCAGGCCAGTCTCCCCACTGCTTTGGCTCTAACCTCAGCAGAGACACCGAGGACAACTCCTGCATCAGGAGCTGTCAATCACCTTCTCCTTATCCTGAAGCAAGGACATTAAGAATCACCTCGAAAGCTTTTTGCTGGAACCGAAGGTATGGTTGCTAAAATGTCCCTCCATGTCTCGGAGTTGTGACATACTTCTAGTCTTTTTCTTCTTCTTAGTGCATGGCAAGGCAGGGTGAAAATGTGATAATGCCAGCGGAAGGGCTCAGCATGCTAGAAAAAACCTGTGTCAAAAACCTACCCTCTCCTGGGAAATCTGTTCATTCCCAACCCCTGCTTCTCTGCAGATACCAAGGAACTAATTAGATATAGGCCTTTCAATTTTACTCAGCAGTTATGATAAGGCTGAATCATTTCCTAGCAACACTATATGAAATTGAAAAGATACAGAGTTGCTAAAAGTTGAAAAGAGTGTGAAAAAAGGGAGTGTTTCAATGGGATTAAGTGAAGCTTTTGCTTTGTTTTGGGGCTGTGTGGAGTTTTCAAGGCCTTGTTCTATTATTTCTACTGTTCTTTAAAGACAGGTCGATATTTTAAATCACATTTAATAAGAGTTCACTTAAATGTAGAACTCTAAAACCATTTGATGTGAGCTTCCAATAAAATCTAAAGAAAGACTTAAGTTGACATGTGAGCTACAGCAAGGGGTGTGTGCTCCCCCCTCAGATGATCACATTTCCCTGACCCTCTTATTTTTCCTTAAATAAATCATGGGACATGCAAGGGGTAACGTGGTGGGAGGATTTTTTTCCTTCCAGAGAAGAGGTATGATGATGCGACTCTTAAAGCTCGACTGAGAATTAGATGACACTCCTTATCATGAGTGTGTGTGTGAGAGATGTAATTTACAGTAAAAAAAAAAATCTTGGGTTTTAGTCTGCAGGAAAGTGTATCTGTCTTGAGATAGACACTGTTTAGGATAGGAAAGAATCTTAACATTCTGCTTCACTATGGCATCGTATCCTTAAAGTTGTCAAGAAGCTCACCTTGTATATTTGTGTCTAAAGCGTTACCATTGTTTCTGAAATAGCTTCTGGCAGCAGTGATCCCTTATCAAGGGCTGCATTTCAACCCTATCTGGAGTCTTCTCATAGCAGTTTAAATCTTTGTTGTGTCAGTGCAGTTGTGCTTTTCTTGGTTGTTAGGGTTGCATAGTACAGATAGCTCAGTGAGGCTTAGGGCTGTGTGTCCTTCCACCGCTTTTCAAGTCCTGTTTCTTCTCATCAGTCTGAAGTCATCTGTCAGTCTGACGTGATGTGTTAATGTGGTGTGTGTCTGCTTTGTATCTGTCAGTAAAACACAACACATACAGACTTGTAAACCAGTGGATATTTAAAAAAGGGTGCCATATTGATGGGGTTGTTTTCTATAGATCGTCCAGATCTATAGAAAATAGATCGATCAGGTCCATGACTTTAAAGGCTTGTCGGACAGCAAAACACTACTTCATTAAAATTCTTGAAAACTATCCCATTATGTTCGCAAGAAAAGATGTGAAGTAAGCTAGAAGGAAATCATTTAGCCATCAATTGTGTTTTCAAATCACACATTTAAGATTGAATATTTTCAGAACGTATATAAAGGATAATTATTCCAAGTCAAAAAACTAAATTCAAGCAGTTTTATTAAAAAACTACATTAACCAAAAGCTGTTTAAAATGATGATGATAATGTGTTTTTTTATGTTTTTAACTTGGAATTGGAGGATACTGAAGTCTGGGCATGAATTAGTATTTCTAAGAAAACACTGTTTAGGTCATGTTGCGAAATAACCACTAGCGCGCTAACATTTATTAATGATCACCTCACCGGCTCTCTGCTAAAAAACACATATTATCAACAAAATAATGTGGAGTTAATTAGCTGCAGGCGTTATAGAGAAGTAATTCCCCTAAACGTACCATTCGTTTAGCTGAGCAGAGTAGTAGCCTACACAGCCGGCTAATTATTAGCTCCTTAATTTATTTTTTGCTTTATAATTTAAATTTTTTGTTCGTTTTTGTTTCGTTTTTTTTTCGTTTTGTTTGTTTTTCCTCTGTTCCTGGCTTTATGGAGAGGTGCATTGTACCTCTTGTGTTTTTGTTTGTCTATTGGGTGTTACTATAATAAAAATAAATAAAATAAAATAAAAAGTTTAAATAAAGTGTTTAACATTTATTATTCCTTTCAATGGGAAATTAAAGGCCACAACATGGCGTCCCAAATCCCAGCGGTCCCACAAGCCTACACTCCAAGGACTGACAGCGTCTTTTCTGTCCTGTCTGGCTTTCACTCATTGGACACTGATGTGCCCGGGCTCTCACAGGTGATTCTGAACAAGCTCAACATGAAGGACTACAGAGAGTACAGGTAAAAACACGTTATAAAATGTGTGCACACAAATTAAGTTCATATGGCAATAAATGTTCAGAATGCTTTTGTTAATGCTTAAACAGGGGCCTCTTGAAGCTTGATTTGTCAATTCCTTCCACAACCTACTATTCCTTCAATTCCTATAAAGTGTTTATTTCTTGATAGGGCTGCCCTTGAGGGTAAGGCTAAAGGAGTCTCATTCCGCAACTACAAGGAGTTGTTTGAAAAGATGGAGGAGACCTTCAAGTTCTGCACCAGCTGCAACAAACTCCCGGAGCATCTCACTGAGGGACAGACGCTGAAGCGTTGTGTGAAGTGAGTGCAAAGCCACAATAGACTGCCTGCAGAAACAACCCATGAGCTTGGTTAAGTAGGTTCTCTATGATGAATGATTGGCAACATACTTGGATTAACTCAGATTTACATTAATCAACAGTGACTACCAGAATATTTTAGGCAACTGAAACCTACACCACTCTCTGGTTAGCGTGATTATCACCCGGTCAGAATGCTGCTTTGGCATTGTTGTACAGTCATGTGTGGAGCAGTACCAGGTGCTGTTGTATCAGTGGCAGACTTTTAGGAGAGCTCTACAGAGGTGGACATTGGCCAATGGCAAATATAGCAAAGTCCCCTGACTGTGATTTCTACGGTACTCTGCAGCGTATTAAAAGCAGCTTAATGCAGTTTTATTATGTCAAACATGAGAAGAAGTGGAGTTTACAGTCTGCTGCATATTCTCTAGTGCCTCATCGTTTCTGTGTCTCATTTTTCTCCTCGCTGTCTGCTTTTCTTTCTCTAAGTCACACACAATAAACTTTATTTCTCTCTCTCTCGCTGTCTCACATAGACACACACAGACACACACTCAGTTGCCAGTGCCTCTCTCAGAACAGTAAGCAGACACAAACAAAGTTGTTGACAAGGAAAAACCCTCATGACCTTTGACATCTGAGAAAGACCACATACGGTCCAACAATGTTGTGTTGTGACTTTAAAATACCACTTTCATTCTTGTTCTGATTCAGTAGACTTTTTAATTACTTGTGAAGTAAAAGCATCTTTGATTTATAATATACCTTCTAAAGGCACCTGTGTTTTCTGCCTTTGTTTGGTGTCTAAGTTTGTGTCTACTTTGTCTGAGTAGAAGCCTCTTTTGGACGACATGTCGACTGATAAATTATTTTTATTTCATTCTGGACTTATAGTCTCCCATGGCACCAACTGGCTGTCAAACCTCTAATCCACTTTACCTCAACACTTGATGGCTTGTCAACAACACTAAAGACCACGCGCACACAGAGAGGTCAGATAATCACTCATAAATTCCAGCACTATTGCCAAATGTAATCTAAAACAAGACAGACTTTGTCCTCATTGTCATCAGTTTGCAACTGAAGGAGAAGGTCAAATATAAAGATGAGCTGTATATACGAACCCCAATTCCAAAAAAGTTGGGATGTTGTGTGAAATGTAGATAAAAACATAATACAGTGATTTTCAAATAATTTGAACCTCAATATTTAACTTAAAATAGCTAAAGGACGACATATCAAATGTTGAAACTCAGATAGCTGTTATTGACAGAAAATGACAAAATGACCTATTTTGAATTTGGTACCAGCAGCAAATCACAGCAACATTTCTGGATCTATTTTATATATGAGTAACATTTGAGTGTGTTCACAGAGTCCTGAGCCCATGTGATTATGTCCACAGTATTGTGTCTATTTTTAATGCAGGGCCATCTTACAGTCCGAAGGTCCCAGCCACAGTTGGTTGTTGGCCTTGTCCCTTGTGTACAAGGATTTTTTCAGACTCTCTGAATCTTTAAATGA